CCACAGTTTTTTCGAGTTTTAGCTCGTCTGCAATGTCACTGTGCTTCCACTTTTTTGACGGTTTAAATCGGCTCTGTCTGTTTATTATTTCTCAAAAGAGGTGTTGCGATTTTGAAGCAAAATTGCAACCAAAGGAAAACCTATAAATGCCTGATTGTCTCATTTGGACGGTGTTGTCCGATTTAGTTCCGTAAATCAAGCATTAATGTGCCTATATGTTCAAAATACACACGATAAATCACGAATTGTACTTTTAAACACGGGATAGCAACTTGCATTTTTTCGACTTTTCATAGCAGAATATTTTCTTCTGGTTTTCACTTTTTTCAACAAAATATCTAGTTTTACTTGGTACATTTTCTTCACTTATTCTCTGCATTGCTTGGAATCAACCACTACCACGAAAGATTTATTAATTGAGTAGGATGTAGTCCTTAGGAATCTAGTTTAATCTCACTGATATCGCTGTAGCATTTCAGTTGTTTTGCCTTTTCATCAGTTTTGCTTCAATTTATTCTCCTTAATTTAGCTCGAAGCGTTATTTTGTAATACATATCCATTAGCTTGAATCAACGGGTAGCATGTCTCTGTTTAGTGGGCGGCCGTATCATCATTTGTGCTTGACCCTTCGCACTTATATGGGGAGATTGATCTATGTAACGGCAATACCTATCAACCGTTGCCTTTTAGAAAGATAGTTTTGCAAGGTTACCAATAATATAAGGAACGGGAAGAGAGAGAAGCTAAATCTGGACTTGAAAAATTTTAGTACATTTGACTGGCGAATTCCTTTAATCGGGGTTGGTGTAGCAGCCTACAAACCGAAACCGATTCACCCCACCTCTCTCTTCCCCTCCTGGTTTGATTCACGGCGGCGCTTATTTGATACGTGGACTGTCGGGTTCCGCTCAGATGAGCAAAACAAAGTGGTCGGAGGTGTTCGTGTCACATCGCCTCTCTCCGTCTCCGATAGAGTGAGCTAATGGGCGTTGAAGCGTTGCGGTGGTGAGTGTGCCTCGTAACCCAACGCACGGTTGAGTGGATAAACTTTACTCATCATGCATCCCCCTCCTTGCAACACTTGACTGTGCTGCGCGTGTTCACCCTCTACGAGGACCCATTAACACCGATCTCTATAAGGGGTCTAACGGTGCCGAACGTTCTCCACTTTGCTCTACTCTACTGCAAGCTGTGCTATTTGCTTTCCTACCTTAATTTGATCAAAAGCAATTAAGCTCGTTTAATTTAACAATGTCATGGGGAATGTCTCCCCTGGCATTTACTTCACTTCAGTCCACTTTTGTTCATACCGAATTATACCTTTAAACCCGAAAAACTGGTGTTGGCGGGGAGGGGGGCGTTCGGTCCATTTGAAACTGCGGAATTGGTTGATTTTGAAAGGCTTTAAATTCATTGTAGGTATACTGAAGCCACTATTTCCCGTTGCTTAGGGTGAGCGAATTCCTTATCTATAAACTGTCGAATAAGCCATGGTTACAAAAAACTCTTAAAATTCATTGAGTCATTTTTGCCGTTGCTCAGTTTTAAATCCATCAGTCCCTTTCGTACCAGCGTGAAAACGTTGGATGTCAAATACTCAAGTGGATGCGGATGGAGCTACTTGTGGAAGAGGGACTAATAGAATTAAACCGTTCATTTGTCTTAGTTGACCTTCCTAATTGTCTGGGCTATATATCATAATTTTATTTGTCTGTAGCAGGTCAGTTTTTCTGCACGTACATTTGATACCGATTTTGCGGTAAATACTTGCTTCTTAACAAGTGAAGTCGAGTCCCGGGCTTTACTAAGCTAGTCTAAACGTGCCCACATTGTTGGCAATGTTGGGGCAGGCCGTTGGATTGCAGCATGTTGTTGGACCACCTACACGCTGCTGCTGTTTTTATTTATACACTGTGCTGTCACTCGAGTGTCAGGGTGGTGGGAAAGGGCGTGGTCGACTCGACCTACATCAGCGTGCAGTGGCGTCCTGCGGTTGGCAGTCAGCCCGCGTTTTGATTAATTTTCTAAATACCATATACATGGATGGGGGAGAGTTTAGTCGACGTTGGACCTGTGCATGTGTGCATAGTCCGACTAGGTGAATTTCACGGTTGCATGGCTCAGTTCAATTCGTACTGCTTTACACTCCATTTGGTCCTAATTACCCATCTCCCAATTCCTCATTTCACATTGACCAGATGCTTCCAATCTTTATTTTGCTTATATTTTTGGTATGCTTGTGGCTTATTTCTACTATTTAGAGGACACTTGCATGCGAAATGATTTTCACGAAGTGCTTCATAATTTGAGGTTTTTCTAAATCGTTTAAATGTCTAATGCACCATTTAAACGATTTATGGTGAATCTTACCCCCTAATTCAGCCTTCAGCTAACATTTTGAGACAACCAGCTTTAAGCATCAACAGCCCATCCTATCTACTTTGAACTCGCGTATTTTCATTATTATTTAGGTCTTCAGTGTATATACCGTTAAATTTTACCCCAATGTGTAACTTCGTTTCCTTAGGCGGAAATAACCGCCTGGTTTACATCGACTTTATACGACATAATTTAAATGGTAAATATGTTATCCAATGAAGAATCTCAACTTTTTCAAAATACCTTTTCTAAGACCCTCATTTTAAAACACACAGGATCAGGTATTGATAAAACTGTCACTTATAGTGCACCGATGATTTGTTACTGGTTTCACGTTTTCATGCTTGTTAAAACGGATTGCAGATTCTGCCTAATTACGAGTTGAGAAAACGGAAAACAGCCTCCTAGACTTATACGAAAGTAATTAGTCCTATGATTGTATTACGCGCTCCTTCAACATATCTTATTCCCATATTTTCTGGTCTCCTCAACCATAGACCACCCTTGAGTGATCCCCAATGTGCCATAAAATTTCCGGAAATGCGACGGTGTGACTTTCCATCCATTTTATGTTTGAAAATAGTCCTCTTTCAAACTGGCAATGAGCTTGTCCGTAATATTTCTGTTTTACCTTTCATAGCGATGTCGTGGACGATGCAGCCAGTTGTGACATGGTGCAGGTGAATGCAAACTTCATCCTCGATCTGCTTAAACTCCTCATCTCGGGCGAATCATTGGAGCAATTTCTCTCCTCCAAAAAGTGAGTTATTCTCTTCCTCTCTAGCCACTCCACTGCGCCGGGTTGGTACTGTGACGGGTGATGTACCTCCACCACTGCCACCACTGCCGCCTCGCCTTTTAACTTAGGGCTCCATTATATTTTCTGTGATCCCTCTCTCTCTCTCGCTTTGTGTCATGCTTTCTTTGGCTGTGACAGGTCCACCAGTTGAGAACCCACCGCTCATCGCAGTGTACCGCCGTGCCTTACTGCCGGTGGCCTTGTGAATGCTTGTGGTGTTGCTGCCTAATTGCCACGCTTAGTTGCCAGTCTGACTTGCGCTCTGTGCACTGGTTATGTTGTGTAGGTCTCCTATCTTATCGCTTATCACCAGTCGAATCTCAGTGACGGAAATCCGTTTGTGTGTATATATTATCATGATTTTACATCTTTAGGTGAACCGATGTTTCTTGTCAGCTTAAGTAGTGATTTACAACAGTTACATCGTCTCACCGATAAGGTGCACTAGTGATCAAGATAAAATTCATTTCAGGCGTCGATTTTAATTTTTCCGCTAGCATAGAGTATGAGCTAATTCTTGACCCCCCTTTTTATATAAATTTATTTTAAAATGGTTTCGGACGTTGCCACGCACTCTAATTTTTACGAAAAGTGCCTATTCCTGTCAGCTACTGTCACGTTTGGATAAAAGTAAGATCCTTCATAGCTAATTTGATATTCACCCTTATTATTTAAGGAAATTTTTTGGAAGGTCACCTTGGGTGTTGCAGCATAGTTATGAGTCGATCTGTGTCTTCATCCAGCGCCAACAATCATTCTTGGAGGGGAATAGCTCATGAATTGCCAATGCTTTTTGTGAAACCCGTTTTTGTTATGGATTATTTTTGGTTATTTATGTACAGATAAGTAGGTGTGGTGATGCCTTTTTGAACTGACTCTAAGGATGTCAAATAGTACGATCTGTCGTTCACGATGTTCTACTATTACTTCGCTGCCTAAAATGATTCTTCATTCAGGTATTGGTTCTTCGATGAGTATTTATAAGCCATGCCAACAGAGTAGGCGCAGTTGAGTGACACACCGATACAATAGAAAAAAATAGCCGTATCTCTCCTTGCGGCGGATCATGTGACGTTGAAAACAATAACGCCAATATTGGGCCTCGGCAATGGATGTACACTTACTTCATCGTGTGAATTAAAATTCCGCCCCATTGATATCGTCTTAACGCGGTAGGTATGTAGGTGCGTGTTGGTGGGAGGCGTCGTTGGCATCGCTCTAGCCTCGGCGTCCGCTTCCCTGCTAGTAGCCGTGGTAACGATGACGGAGGCACAGCACACGCTCAATTGCACGGCGGCGTGTCGGTCTAACCTGCCAAACGTTTTCCCTACTTTGTCCTCCCACTAGTTTGACAGGTCGGTGTTGTCTGAGCTTCTCTGTTCTGCTCTGCCCTGCTTCCTTCACGCTAATGTGCGTGGCTCTCCACTTCTAGAAGGTGTGGCACCTAAAGTCACTGAAATCCTATTCTGTGTTTGAGCGTTTTTGTCTCTCGAGATGGGAGGCTATGTGGTAAATAGCTCTAGGTTTCGTGTACACCCAGAGAAATTGCAAGGTTGACCATATTGTGGCCAACCTCAAAGGCGTCGCTTTTTTTATATTTGAAGATCAGTATTTGAACTCAAAATACATCAATTCTTCTCTTATTTTTATTCATGATTTTTCCTTCCGTGTTGATGCCAGTCTTATTGGAAATCACCATACTTGGCTCTTTATCTGTTGCAAGACACAGCATCAACCATTCGAATCTAGATCCCGCCTCATGTTAAGCGATCTTGCTAAACACTGGCTTTCCCCTTCTGCCGCTATTGCTGATGAATTAGCTCAAGGAAGGCGATTATAAAGGAGGGCTCAGGAGGAGGAAGAGGGCGGCGAAGAATAAGGTAGTTGTGGTAGCTACCGGAAGCCACTGCTATCTTGCGCAAATCGTTTCACTTGTTGACACGAAAGTTTGGTGGATAGTTCTCATGACCTTTCATATGGTATACGTTAATCATCAAATCTTTTATACTCAAGCAAACGCCAATTGTCATTTTCATTTATTTTAGTTTTCCTCCGGCCCTACTCCTTCCTGATTAGTCTTCATTATGGTTAAGTGAAATGTCCTTAGTTTGCCTGTTAATGCTATGTTTTGCACCAGAAAGGTGGAATTCTATATTTGGTGAAATTTAGTCTTCTCAATTAGCATCCTTTTTACCACGATCAGAAAAATAAAAGTGACCGTTAAACTAAATACAATTTGTTTATTCTGCTGAGAAGGAGAGTTACTTTACAAGTCATGCTGATTATGTAATAAATTCCAAAATTGAAATATGCTGCGAATCAAACCACGTCACTGTGCTCATAACCGCGGGTGGAGAGACGAAGCTTGGGTCGGCTCTGCCTTATGGAAGCGACCTCCATTAAGATGGTGTGAAATGGAGGCGGTGATTTCAAGTCAACACGCACACGGGGAGTAGGTGCACGCAAGTACGTTGGTAGGCAGGGCGGATAAGCTGGCAGGGCATTCACGGGGGCGCCAGTAGATGCAGTTTTAGTGGTGGTGGTGGCGCTGCTACTTATTATTTCACTCAGAAGTCTTTGATCTTGCCGCTTGGTGGTGGATTTGCGGAAAGGCGTATGCGCATCTGTGGTGGTGTGACTAGGATCTCCGACGCACATTTTGTGAAGCCTTTGCGGTAGACCACCGTCTTGGGTTTCCGCTGTCACAGGATGTGTATCCATGACTCTGCCAAACAACAACGATCAGACCTGCCTCACAGCTTCCCGTCTAAACTCTATGAGCACACTCGCACTTTTTCGTTGTGAATTCTTTTTACCGAATTACTAACACTCTTAGTGGTCTTTGTCTTCTATTTCTTTAGGAGTACAAGGAGCCTCTAATTTGCGGTGATTTTGTAGGACTTTTATCGTTTCTTCCATCGACCTCCAGTTTCAAGCCCTTTGACCGAGAAGAGTGATTTGTTGACAATATAATATTTTGTTTGGAAAGGAAACTGTAGAGGCAGTAAAAGACTTAGGGGGAATCGGGATTTGTGCCCTTTTTGAGATTGACGATGTTGTCGTAGTCATCAGGCTCGTTGAACTCGGCGACTTTTTACCTGGAAGATGTAGTAAAACAACCATGTACTACAATTCGTCAAAAATATAGGGCTTGTGACCGGCTCCGTCGTTGATTTTGTTTGCAGAATTGTGATAGCAAACTTTCTCCGTGTATTGTAGGAGTGCACTGGATCTGAAGCGAAGTTTACGGCTTGTCGCGAAGGCCCTGGACGCTGGGGAGACCTTTGAGGAGTCGCAGGGTGGTCTTGACTCGCCTAGTACCCAGTCGCACCGTACGCGGAATCTCTTCATCCGCAGGCCACATCTTCGCCGCCACTGAAAAAGATTATCCGCTCCTTCCCTTCCACGTCATTCCAGACTCGAGATGAAATCATCAAAACTCGCTCTTATTTGCTGAATGTATTACAACTTTTGAAGTGGTTATCTTTTAATCATATTCTTTCTCTGCTTCAATTTTCTTTCCTCTGATTAATGTGAGTGATGGGTGTTAGGAAGTCAAGACACTCAAAATACCCCAAGTTTGTCGTTTTCAAAGTCATGTTATGGTTTTACAAAATGACTCATTCACCTAAATTCTTTTATTATATTTGATAAGTGCATAGATTCTTTCGTCCTGTGCATTTTCTTGCATTACTTATGTCCTTTTTTTCATCCTCGTGTAGAATAGCTGCATTATCCACATCCCGATTTAATTTGTTTACAGAGTCCATGTGCCGTGGAGGTACTGAACCGGAAAGGTGGGTACCTTTTAAACAAATTGAATTCTTTTCCTGTTGGAGTTGATTTTTCAACTTTATTCACAGGGCTGTCTGGATACCTAACTTGTTATTGCACTTTTCGGAACACATCAGCAAATGCAGTGGTATCCAGATCATCAGGGAGATGTGGCATCGGTTGCATGTGAAATAAAGCTTAACTGGCATGTCTGTAGAACTTCAAAGCATGACGTATCTCAAATTGGTGGTAATTATTAATGGTGCTAAATGCTGAAATCATTTTCGTTTACTTGTTCCGAATACACATCCTTTGAAAGATAGTAAATAAAGGTTTCGATTGCGTGAAACTGGTTAATGAAACGCCTAGTAAACCTGATGTAGAAAGTGTTGGCGCGCGAGCGTTATGTCCTTACACTTCAGTTCTGCCTCAGCATTCGCCGGGCTGGGAAATGATCGGTGCCTCAAATTAACGTCTTCCAAGAGATTGGGTCAATGATTGTGGTTGCTCTTAGAAATGTGTTTAGGGGTGGAGCTAGCATGTGGTATTGTTCCCTTTCGCTACACTGCAGTTGTTATTATTTACTCGGGACTACTTTTCGGTCAAGTTGTATCCTTTTCGGAGATTCGCACACAACGGAAATACCACGCAATTTTAATTAGGAAATCTGCGGTGGGTCGCGACTCTTCTCCAAAGACCGCAGAAATCAAACGGAACACTTTATCATTCTTAAGAGAGCTTTTATGCATGTCTTTCTCTGTTCGTGTGCATTCTAACCGCTGCACAAATCCCAGTTCAGAGCCTAATTTCATTTTTATAGATGATAGTAGTACGGTACCAAAAGTTGCCAAGCAGACTTCCACTTTCCAAAATATTTGTCAATAGTCCATAGGTAAGCCTAAAGTGGTTATTTCTTCGCATGATTTTGATTACTTGATATCAATTTCAGATACCATTCACATCCCAAATGGAGGCAAAAGTGTGTTCGCTTTCGGCGAATAGAAACCTCTGACAAATATCTCCGATTGCAAGTGGATTGAGTTGCTTTCTGTAGGATTGAAGCACAATTTGTTCTTTAAATGAAAAAAAAAAGTATTTGTCCTTCAACAATAGGTTAGACTTTACTTTCCGCAAGACAGGAAATGACTTCAATACCTTATGCTATAGGAAAGGGATGTTAGTTCGCAGTCTGACGCACGGTTCCCATTATTCACACGCACTTTGATTTAGTTGAGTATTCTCTGTCTAAGGAAGAAAAAACGTATCCTTGAGTGGCATATAGCACTTGCAAGTTCAATTTAAACGGCGGATGGGGGTTATAACAGAGACAATGCAAACTCATTGGTCAATTGTATCAATCACAGTTTGACATTTGAACTGAAAAGCCATCCCCAATGGAACACTGGTTGCTTGGGTGAGAGACGGAAGGAATCCCAATGGGGCTTTACCAAGTAACGGGTCTCCATACAAACATGAGAAAATACCTCCACGTTGGCAACCGTTTTAAGTGTCGGTTATTCTTTTGTGTTAATATGACCAAAAAGGCATCCTATGCGTGCATAAGATCTTGCAAATATTCTCTACAACGGCGTTGTCAAAAGGGGAGTTTGACAGTTTGTAGGAGAGAACCTCAGCACCAGTATTGATTGCAGCTGTCCACTAACGCCTCGAATGTAGTTTCGAGGGTCCTCGTCAGATTGACGTTGCTACAGTCAAGTCTTGCAACCGCACAATGCTGCCCTTACGTGCTCTCATTCGAAGCATGATTCACAGCACTCCAATTACAAACGAAATCACAAATTTTTGTGTTCATTTCATTATTAAAAGTATGTTTTCGTTTACACTACTGGTAGTAATACTTTTGCATCCTAGTAATAACGCATCCAACCCTAGGTCATATTATCTACAATTCATCTCCAGCCCACTCCAATTACTTTGTGGTCGCAGCAACTTGTTCAACCTTTAACAACCAAATATGCAATACTATTGCTTTTGGACCTTCTGTGCACAAACTGTACGGCCTAATGCAGAAAAGGACGATGCAGTGCTTTCATATTGCAACTTTTAAGGGGACAATTTGAAGTTAAATACAGCAAAGGTAACTAGCGAAGCACAGTCAGCAGCTGAGGCGGCGGACCAGTGTTCCTTCTAAGACTGCCTACATGTTAAGTGTTGCCATGGCGATTGACAGCTCACTCTTCTTTTGATCTCAGCTTTAAAAGTAGGAGTTACTTGAGTACCAATGTGCGGTGCAGCCAATTCAGTAGACGTCACTAATGCCATATTGACTTGACTTCTGACATTTTGTTCAGTAGAATGACAGGCATACGCAACTGTCGACATTGGAGGAGAGGAGGAGGCAAGAGTTTAAGCTTCTTGAGGGAACAATGTACAATGCTCTACAAATAACATTTCTATTAACGAAGCCTAATTAACTTTTACATCACCTGCAATAGTTATAATATACCTTATAGCAATTCTTCAACCTCGACAAGGGACAGTAACAGTTGACAAGTCATATTTATTCTTCGTTTCTCCTTTTTTCTGTACCTGATGGTTATTCATAGCGTTTTCTGGACCACAGCAATACCAGTTCATTGTCGTAAGTCATGGCCCTACTTCCCTCTCCCTAACTGAACGTGACCCACAACGCGGACCGCATCACAGTCATCTTTACCCAGGGCCGTGCCTATGAAATGCCCTTTCCTCACTTACCAGTCCCCTCGTTGCTGTAGAGGTCCAAAGCCCATTCCATGACGTGAAAATGGATGTGTGGTGCTATCGGGGCACACTACTCTTTGCCCACTTATACGGATACACATTTTATTTTATTTTAAGAGCCTCAATGACAGGTCACTGACATAACTACTTTTAGTTTCAGATTCAAATAAGCATTTTTTCTTCATCAAACTGCATTTTTAAGTTTGATTTGAAAGCAGACAGTGCAATCTTTGATGCATAAAACTGCTCTACTTTTACTTAAGTGTCTTGTAGAAACGCCGACAGTAAAAGTATATTTTGATCGACTTAAGCATTGGTAGTTTACTAAACAACTTCCACTTGCATTCATCACAAAAGCTGTTTTGGACAGTGAAGGTGAAGAAAATAGGTTAGATTTTCACGCATGTTGCATATTCACCAACATTTCTATTGTCAGATGGGGGACTAAATCGCGAGCCCCGCATTGGTGAAATTTATGCCTTGTCCAGAAATGCAGGCCACAAGTTTGTGCTTTCAGCCTCTGCCACTGCTGCTGGTGGTGGGAGGAGGAGAAAAGGGAGAAAGTGCTCAGGTGCAAGCCGATGTTTGCTGCGTCATCAGCGTGTCTCCTTGTGTGGAGTCGGCAGTGACTCTAAGGGATGTCAAATCTGCATGAGATGGTGAAAGTAAGAATGATGGTGGTGACGGCTACGACGACAACGACGACGACGACAGTAACAGCAGACTACTCTGACTAATTGCTTGTTGACAGGGTTTACCATTTAAACAAACGACCAGGAAGAACAAGTCTAGAAAACATGCCCTTGTGAGAACTACCGCACCTGCAACACCCCCAATATTGAACATTGGCCACTCATTAGCAAATATTGGCGGTTTAGGTAAGAATTTTACTTACTTCACAGTGCATGGGTAAAACGAGTCGGACACATTGGAAAATGATTTCAGAGGTGATACCATTATAAAGGGTTTGCATGTTTAGGCTAGCGCTCTGGAACTGTTAATGCCTGATAGAACTGGTCACTGACACAATCTTGTATCTCACATAAATATAAAAAACAGAACTTCTCAAATGCGTCGTTGTTGACATTAAAACACAAATCTCGCTGTTTAGGAAGAAAAATGAACCCACTGACATCTCCTTTTAAAGTGATCAAAGTGAAGCAGTAAGGTTCTCAAACAATATCTTGACCACTTGAAGGGACGGGATTTTTCAATTCACAATTTTGCTCAAAATTTACGAAATCCGAATTAATTCAAAAACTTACAAGTGAAATAGAATGGAGATGATGTCACTCCATTTTTGAGTTTGAATGTCAGATAAGTGCTGGAAGGATATATTATTGAGAATTGGTGCTGAAATTTCGGCTTAAGGTATCTGGTTGGGGTTGGAATAAATGTATTTTAATCGTTGGAGTAACAACGCAAAATGTTTGTTATTGTGAGCTGTCGTGCAGATTTATTTGCTGGGTAAAAATCGCACCATGACTGCTCATTCCTGGTACCGACCACAGTATTGGCTGAAGTAACTGTCACCATTAAGTGAACTGAACTGCATAACTCGGAGATACTCAAATTTTTCCAGCTTCATAAGGTAGTAAATATGTCAATGTATGGAAAAATGTAGTCGGCTGTAATTTACTGTATTGGAATATGAATAATGCGGAAGTGATGAACGGGATCAAACATTGGGACATCTCCCACGATTAAGAAAAATTTCTTTAAAGTGAAGTCCTCTTATGAAATTAGGCCGTGCGTTGGCTCTCCTCCCCAAGGTGTCTCATAGTCAGGCTTCTGGACGGCGGTAGCCTGCCGTGGGGCTCCAAATTGTGATGTTGCTATTTATTTCATGTAAAAAATACAACAGGAAGCAGCTTGTGCGCGGATGTCAAAGCTGCCTCCCCTGCATGCATTGGAAGAAAAAGGTAACCGTAAGTTGAAAGACTAGTAGACCAAGTCTTCATAATTACCAAATTATAAAGACAGACAAACCTTCGGGTATGGATGCTTCATTTCTGTTTTCCCCCACACTGAAATGTAATCTAGTGAGAGAGTGAATGTGGACTATCCCAGAGTACTGTTTAGTCTGAAAGACACAAATACATCCGTTGGAGCTCTACTGTGGAGGGGCCATTATTGGAATACCCGAAATGATGATTTGATTTGCATTGACAGGCTTTTTTGTCAGAAGTAAGGATGACACGAGACACCAACTTGCATAAATACATGGGTTCAATAGCAATGTAACCGTTTTTGTCCAGACGGCAAACCGTCAAAGGATCCACTAGAACTCGTTTTATAGATTATGGGCCCACATTGAAACTGAACCTATGAACAAAAGGCATGCTTTCTTCAGAAGTTACACGGCAGCTTTTGTAGGTTCAGGTTCACGACCATGGTTATAAAGTCGAGTGAAGTCACTTTGCGAGCATAAAAACCAAATTTTTTATTCACTGTAAGGGAATTTTTTGACGTAAATGTTTACAAGTTTTAGTCACGCGGTGACCTAATGGCATCGCTACGGAAATTTTTACGTTTACTGATCTTAGCGAACTGTATTCCCAATTTTGATTCCTGTCAAGAAAAACACTTTCTGGCGGATCGACAAGGCAAGCATTCGGAAGCTAAGTATGTTTATTCGTTTCATTAAAAAGAGGTGGAAACCTATTTTTCGCGGTATTGACTCCATTCTTAGTCAAAATATGCATGTTTTAGTGAATGCAAATTGCTTAACACACTTCATTGCCCAATATTTCCCATGTCTTTTGTCTTGTCTAAATTTTTAACATTACCTTTGATCTCTATTAACAAACCCCATGTCATTCCATATTTCCCTTCCTCAACAATACTCTATTCATGCAGAATGGTTTTTTTGCTCACTCGAAATTTCGACCAAAGTAAGGGTGGGACGTGTTCCAACTTCGCTCTTGCATTTCGAGGCATTTCAAAGCAAAATTGGTATTTCTAAAGTGTTAATAAAATGATGTCGAATTTTACATCAACTGTGGCCAAAGTCCTGTTATGCTACTTGTGTCTACACACTTTAGTGGGGGGATAATACCTAGGCTTTTCCTGATTCTGTTTTTGCCTTGGGCATGTGATAAGCTGCGTATTGAAAAGCACATTTTAGTAACCATGACTGCATGGATGCATTCAGAAGTTTACCAATTTATCGCATCAACAAGATGAACTAAACATGGATAGAGTGATTCGATACGAAAGCATCTCAACAATTAAGATAGTGATAATTGAATGTAAAGCCCAAGTCTAAAAGGTTGAAGCTACTGGTAAAGAACAAAGAAAACCCCAAATTTTCTTGATTAGCACATTTCTACTCTTTATGGCCAATGCCTTACATCCGCCTGAGGTGCCATCACTTGCTTTCTACTGCTTCCCTGAAGCACTCTGGAGATAGAGGCCTTCGTTATATCGATACCTATCACTCCTGAGTTCCATTTTGAAGTTTGTGCGTTACATTGTAACAAATAAACCTTTAGAAACAACGGTAAGACCATTTTAGCAGGATAAAAATGGAGCTAGCTAGCTCATCTCTGTCCCGCCGCTCTGAAACACAGAGTAAAGCCCAGGGTGTTGACACTGGCAGACCTACCGCAGAGTGGCAGGACGACAGTTTTCTGCCCCAATCTTAACTACCCTTGCCTTTCTTAGTGTATCTGCGCCCGTGTATGGAGTTTAGCCACAGCTAGCGTCGGCAGCAACGCTAATTTGTCTCCAGACCACTGCTCCGCGGGTGGTCCACCCTGCCTGAGCAAGGAGGGGAAGAGACAACTACGTGGGAAATGTTACTTTGCGCTTGATAAGCTCTAGCCCATTAACCCGCCTCTTTTGTTCCTCTAATGCTCTGTAAGGCCTTTAAATTCCAGCCTTGTGAAAGATATGCTGGGTGCGCAGCTCGATTTCGACGACTTTACTCAGACCGAGCTGTGGTGGCCCCTAAGTGAATTTCGTACCCTTCCGATCTCTAGCTTGATTGTCTTTAACCCATGGGTTGGTCCATTGACGAAGACGTAATGAAAAAATAGGAAATTGCACCCAACAATGACACAAAAGCACTGGCCCACTGTTTCATGTGCAAGCTCTTGGATGTGAAAAGGCAGCATCGCTTATACGCTTGCCAAAACAACTCCTTGAGCTTGACCCATGTTTATGTCCCACGAGGATGGTGAAGCAAATTTTAAACAGTTGTGATACGATGCCCACAACCATTGCGAGATTTCAACAACTGGAATATTTAAAAAGGCTTAGTGCTATCACGGGTAACGAATCATCTTCCATCCTACCACAGCACATGATTTTTCTGTAAAGCTTGAGGTAAATGCGACTAGCAAAGGTCAATGTTTAGAGAACTTGGCTGGATAGTGTTATTTTTAAGATGGAGAAGCTAAGTTCTGGAAAATAGGTGTTTTATGTTATTTGAAAAGGCTAATTAACTATGACATGTACGGTCCCTAAGGCATAAGTGGGTAAAACAATTCTTTCGACAACACGTGGGATTGAAATAATAAGAGGCAAAACGAGTTTGAGTAAAGTTAGAACTCAATCCATACAAGCTTTGGTTGGTTTTAGAAAAGGGAAATTTTTCGATACCTGTTAATCTTGCAGACAGAGCTACTAGATGTGTGCCATTGGGATTTCAAGACATCTAAGAGATTTAAATTGTAAGCGAATTTTATAGGTTGATGACAGGTACAAATCGGAGTTTCTTTTATTTCTCTTAGACCGAAAATTAATTAGTTTTTCACATAGGTTCTAAATTAACAAAATTTGTTTGTCAACTTCCTACATTTATCCGGCCTTACCATTTCCTACACAGATATGATGGATGTGCTTTTTCCGGGTTGAAAGCAAAACGGTGACGTGGGTGGTCTCATGGGAAGGGCCAATGTGAGACGCTTCTGGCCTACCGCGGTATGACAAAACCGCGACCAGGTGGGGAACGCGTAAGGCGCAGCAGGAACTCCCCTTTGGCCAATGGGGCGAATGCGCTATGGGCAGTCCTGTTAAATACCTCCGCTGCCACCACCACTACCAAGGTCGGATTCGCGTGTGTCAACTGGCGTAGGGATTGAAGCCGGTGTTCGAACCGCTCCTATATACCGAGGTTGTTGACACAATCGCATGATCGTATGATACACAATGACCCTTTTGGTTATGAATTATAAATAGGGTACGCAATGTTTTGCCTTCCCATGACGTGTTCTTAAAATGACACCGTAAGTATTACATTGCTGTGAGCAATGAAGTTATAAAAGTGGCGTTCCATTGTCGTGATGAAGCTAAGTGACTAAATATAATCTGATTTCGACTGACTTTTTAATAAATTAAACGCAGTAGTCAGTTGACAAAAACTGTTTGGTACGGTGATGATCTAGGGTGTATATTAAACATCTTATGCTACTTTTCAAGCTGGTTTGTGAAATCGGTGAGTAGAAGGATTCGAAACCACAAATAGACTCTTGAAGAGCGGTTAGAGCAAAACATGCAGATGTGTCGCCCTCGCATGTTATTACAATCACCTAACGACGCCTTCCCTTGTCTATATTTCATGTGCCTAAAAGAATGGACAAAATCTCAGTCTCAATCTCTGTCTGCCATTCACATTAATGAAGACGATTCACCCTCCTCTGGTTTCGCTATGCATTTCAATTGCGCTTAGCCCAATAATTCAGTTGGAGCCTAATGACTGTGGGACTGTGCAACTTCACAATCCTCCTTATCGGTTCTTAGGAAGAAGTATTTTGTGCTAATCTGGTTCTTCAATTCTCTGGTCCGTTTGTACATATATGCATATATATATGTATACAAAGACCCTAATTTGTATTAATACGTTTCCCATGCAGAAGTGCAGGATAGACTCATAATACGGATCAAGTTTAGGGGTTGGATGGTACCAAATGCTCATGATTTATGCGTCTTCCTTCTGCCTGCAACTTATGTCCAAACCAATACCAATAAACTTATGTGTATCCAAAACGGAATTTGGCCTTAAATTCAGAATTTGCATTCGAAACATAAGTTTTACATACCGGAACATGGTTGAGCATCCCGAACTACCAAGTCTATCTCATTTTAATGACCATTTCTTGCTTAGCTTTACGAAAACGGAATGTCAGCCTTTATTGTTTCGTAGTTGATCGCAGTGCTGGTCATGCCTTACCGTATAAATCATAAACCACACATAAGGACACATCAACTGCTCCTAGCAGCTCTGTCCAGTTTATTTAGTGCCCAATTGCTAACCCACCCAGGTATAAAGTGGCCCGATGTTTTCACACAGATAGTACAATTTGTGTAAACCCAGCCTTGATTTCACACACCCGGTCGATGTGCTCAAAAGTTTCAGAGCGCGGTCTCAATTATTCACCAGCTCAGCGCGCAATGAAAACTTCTCCACCTTAGTCTGCGCCTTTTCCGCGTCTCAACCCAACCCCTTGCGACGTCTCGGCTTGTTGACAAGCTCCACTGAATTATTTATTTCGCGTAAGTAAAAGAAACGTTACATGATGGTTTTAGAAGGCAAAATATATACGCTTCTGAATGTTAAAATGAGCCAAAAAGCTACCTCTGTGAAAAATACTTATTTAGCTATTCCGCAATACCGGTTTATGGTCTCATTTACATGCCGGTTCGGCGTAAATTTCCACACTTTGAGCATGTTTTACGCATATTTTTTTCCAGAAATGAGCGAACGAGGAAGTTTTTGAAAGTATTCCTTAGGTACGATTTCGGTTTTTTCACAGCTCGAAAAGGTAATTTACGATTTCAGCGATTTGACTGTAATTTGGAGCTTAGGTTTATTCCGATCTATAACTCCATAGCTTAACAACAGTCTCAATAAAGAGCACTTCTTCATTAACTCATGAGTCGCCTGAGCTAATGGAATAGGTAATCAAATGCGCCTACTTACCATGCAATTCATAGCCAGAGATTCCGCCCATATTGTCATCAAAATCGAAGCTCCCAGGCAGCTGCTTTCTGTTGCCTGTCTCACTTAAACAAACATAACTACGAGAAATGGTCACCGCTGCTGTTGTTTTCGTTGTTAAAATACCATGACTGACGTGGACAGCTGCTTTGAATAATTTGAAGTCTTACTGTGGCATAAGGCTTGAGCCCGCATAGAGCCACAAAGTCAGCAGCAGCAACAGCAGCGGTGACAAAGGTTTATGGATTGGACCTCATTCCGCATAGTGTTATGCCACGCTCAATGCAGATCCCCAAAAGCGAGGTTGTTATTGGCCATCTGGTCATGGTATTTGTCGACCGTCTTTAACTCTTAATTCGTTTCTATAGTCGAATTTAGTGTTACTTTAGCTAGAAGGTAGATCTTGGCATGTATCCTACTAAAACACGTCATATTCACGTAAATTTGCCCTCTCCCCTTATTTCTGCTCCACCCATCATGTGTAAAACCAGGCAGTTTTTGTGAGCTAATGAATGGAGTCACGCCTCAGTGATCGCGTGAAAACCTCATTCTTTTTGTTATCACTCTACCCTTCGATCGCATTTCTGTCTCTACCACCTTCCAAACCCCTGCGCCTCAAACAGTTAAATTCGCCAAAACACAGCGTAGTTTTTCGCTCATGGTTGAATTGGAGGCGTTTTTAACTAGTCTTTAAAGTCTGCACCAATACCACATAAGTGAAACTACTTTTTCTGGCTGGCAGGGGAACTGTTGCTTTGCTTTCACTCGGAAAATGGTACGTTGCCATAATTGTAGTTACATTTGAACATGAGTGTTTAAGCAGACAATTTACGGTGTCTTTAAACGTTATCAGCGTGGTCCTCAGCATTTAAAGAATACGAATTCATTCGATGTACCTTTATCATCATTTAATTTAAGTGATTGTAGCTTTTCGCCATTATATCACAAAGTTGGGCATATTTGCTTTGATATAACCGTTCATTTTTACCTAACAGTATAATGGAAAACTGTGGAGTGGTCGGTACCACTGTAACGTAATCAAGTCGGCATAAGGCGCAATTTGATAGCAAAACCGACAATTTAATAAAGAAACTCTTTGCTATGTCTAAGGAAATGTGCTACAAATTGCAAGCTTATAAAGGCGTTTTTGGTAGTACGGTCACAGAACACACTATGCAAGAACAATCGACTTTCCATTCAGTGGCTGGAATTAATGTACAGAGGTCATTTGGACTAACCCTATTTTTCTTCCTACAATTTATCTGCATCTACATTGGCTTAACTTCTTCATAGGGTATTTGGCAAGAGAAAAGATGAGTAAAAGTAGACCACCTGTCAAAAACGGTGTTTTTAATTAAAGACACTTAATTCGGAACCAACGAAAGGCGAACATAAATCCGACTCTGGTCTCAATCACGCCAGCTTAAGAAGTGACTGTCAAGTGGCAGTGGTGAGGGCTAGGGAGAGGGAAGAAGGAGTAAGCAGTGATTCTTATAAGGTTTTCCCTCTAAAATGTTTTTATGACATTTGTTCCATCGAAAGATCAAAGGAAAACTTGATGGCGCATTAAATGCACTTTCTGTGGTGAAGGCACCTGCTTGAAGTTTGAGAAGGCGTTTATAATTCACTTAGGTAAGTTCATTTTGTACAGCCCCAAACACAGAAGTTGGCTTAAATGAAACTAAGTTTGAATTATTTCTCCACGAAATTCAGATTCATATGGAGCTTCATTGTCTACCAGGCAATACTTTGAAAAATCAAAAGAGGAATATTTAACTCCCCCTTTAGTTGATATACAAGCATTTCTTTCCCAAATGCATTTTGATAAACATTTAGGAAGTAACTTGGACGGGAGAGCAGGAGAAACCGAGATTTTATAAATGGTTTGCGTTATAAATTGGTACTTTGGATCCTAGGTGCTATTACGTTGCCCATATTTAACGTAATGGATATAGCTTGCTGGCTGAAAGACAAGATAGCCTTAAATCTATTAATTAACAAATTGACTTGGCATGGATTCCATTTGGTAAGATGGGGAACGTATTGGATGATAATGCAAAATTTTAAAGTTTGTGTCTTCTATTTGTTTCAGTGGAATTTAGCACAAAGTAATTGTTCTGCGTACACATGAAAACCCCTGTGGAAAATAAGTGGAGATCTCGTTGAGGGCTTAGCTACAGAAAGAAGGCAACGCTTACCCACCTCCAGTTAACCACGGCCGCCTTACAACCCGTTTTTGGGTCTAAAACCATTTTTTTTGCTAAAGTTGGAGATGTGGTGCATGGGTCCTTTATCTCTCATGTTTTATGCGTAGTCTCCAAGGCATGTTAACCTACAATACTTATTGAATGAGCAGAACCCTAGACCTTATAATATGTTCAGCTCTGTTCTTATTAAAAAGACATGCAAGTTTGTGAAACGAAAAAGCCTGAAGTTCCAGACTCCCTCGAGCACGTACAGACGCGTCCAGTTAGGTTAATGGCATTACTTAAAGATGGGTAGATTTTTTGAGACAAATGGCTTCAGCTTACTGTATTTTGTGTTGTTGAGTCATAAATGTGAATTTTCTGATGGCCGTTTAATTGTTAAGTTAAAATGGCCACCGGTTCCTATTTTACAATGCCAAAATGCACTACAGTAAACGTGTCGATTTAAGGGGGGGAAGAACAGGCATTACACCGTGGCCGCATTAAAGCTCTCAAGCATGTCACTGTAAAATTCGCGTTTGTGAACATAGAATCGGACGTGGGTTTCAAACTCCAAATACGTGATAGCTTTACTTAAATAATTACACGCTTAGGTTGTGCTAGTTTCAATCGTCCACTAATATACCTTGATTGCAGTAATCTTTATTCACAAACAAACATATTTTCAAGTCTTGCCCTAAAGACCAGTTTTAAAGACCATCTTATGAGGCGAAGGCTCTAAATTTCCTGATATGACTGAATTGTGCTGCTTCTTTTATTTCTCAAAGCATTTTTGGGCCTGCTCACCAAAACTTCTTCGCGTAGTGGATTGCCATTCACATTTTTCAAATGATCAATACTTTTGCAAAAAAAAATTTTGATAAGCCATTTCGACATCATCATCGTTGTACATTGGATCGGTTCATTCTAACTACGAAATTGCTATGAAAAGGGAAGATGGAGAGAAATCTGCTTCTTTATTTCATATGCTGCTTGAGACCCTTGTTTATGTGTTAATAATGCATATTGACGAGATCCTGAATAGATTCGGTGGTGTCCATCCCAAATTGGCCAAAGTGACAGAAGTGAATGGAAATTAAAAGATACGTTGCATTGAAAATTTTGATTGTCTGGTTTAAGCTATAATTGTTGATAAAAAGGGTATCTTTTGAACTGATGTAAAGAGAGTAAATGCATATTGAGTAGATATTGATAGGTATATTCATAACTTGTACTTTCGAGACCATCAAATCTATTTTATATCTATATGGTCACAATTACTACTCGTTCTCGTGAGTGATATGCTTTTCTCCCAAAATGATTCGCCTTTACCTTGGAAGGGGGACTAGTTACATTTAAAAGGCTTCAAGATTGTTTAATGCAAATATGGCTCTCGGTAATAAAATAAGAATCAAAATAATTCACCTCTTTCCGTCACGCCCCAAAATTTGGTCACTGAGACACACACTGGAATTAGAAACCTCATAGACCGTCAGATGATTATACAAATAGGAATGCTGCTTTCTAAGGAAGCAACGGTCGTATGGTAATTAGCACAATGACTGGGTCTGTGCTAATTTAATGTTGCCAGAATTTATGACAGCTTATTAAATAAACACATACTGCCAATGCCTTAACAATCGCATGTCAGAACTGCGACATTAATGCAATTACTCCTTTCTACTTCCCACTAGCACAAAGACTTAATAAGTTCAATTGGAATTTGATCGTACAGCATTACTGGCTGTAGTCAAATAATTGAAAAGTACGCTTCATCTGTGCATCTGTTCATAGCATATCTCAATTGGTATGGTTGGAAACACTCTTAGGATATAAGATAAGAATTTCCGGCCAGAGGTTGCACATAAATGTCATCCTTGTGTTTTTCAGATTTCAACGCGCCAACTTTTTTCCAACCTGGCAGGCGCCACTTGTCTCTCTGCTCCTCTCACTCAAAAACGGCTAATTTATTCACTCCTTGAGATGAGGGAGGAAAAGGGTGGGGAAGAGGAGGCGGAGAAGTAGGAGGGGACGAGCAGCTCTGGCAATGACAGCAGAGTTCAGACGTAGGAGGAGGAGAGGAGCAAGGGGGATGGGAGGAGGAGGGAGGCGTCGGGCTGTCTGTGATGCCGCGGGGATAAATTAAAGGGAAGTAAGTGCTGTAAGCACTCACTTTTGCGAGGTGGTGATGCTGGCGCTGATGACAGCTGGGGCTCTTCGCCCACTCCCTTTCTCGCGTGTCCACCAGGCTGTGGCACCCTCACCTCGCCTCGCCTTTCCCCGCATGCAGAGAAGTAGGCTGGGCTGAGCTAAGTTGAGTGGATGGCGAGCGGGCGGGAGGGAGGGCGGACAGTCGGTCGCTCTGTCGACTCCGCTTTCGCCTCTCAAGCTCTGCAAGAGCTAAAGTGTGACAAAGTTAGGATGCAAGGCGCCCTCTGAGAGTCGACAATTTGCAATCTACTTGACTATTTCTGAGACGCTGAATTGTGCTTAGTCAGTCGATTTTGCTCTAAATCAAACCTTTTATCAGTGTTTCGATAAATTTTAGAATATTCAGAAATTAGCAACCAAAATTTTATGCATAAAATTTGTAGTATTCGATGTTACACTACTTTATCATTATTATTTGCAAGGATCAATTTTGGCTGAAATTTTGGTGCAACCCGTCTTAAAGTAATAAATAATCAGATAAAAGTCCGCAAAGCCTACTTAGTTTGTACCTCATTATCCGTCTAATTAAGGTTTTGCGAATGCCGGGTATTGCTAACGCGGATCTCCTACTTAACATAGGTTGCTGGATCACTGTCTGACTTCAATGAAGCAGGACTGTTGCAAATTCATTTACTCAACACTCGTGCACAAAAATAGAGATGACAGCTCGGAGTATTCTCAAAAGCCATTTTATGATTCCTAAGTACCTAGTAGTTGAGCTGTTCATTTTCAAAACACTTCCCACTTTACGCCTTTTCTCATTTTGATGGTGCCAGCCATACGATTGTACAAGCAAAAGAGGTGATGGCGATCATAACGACGCAACCATTATCCGCATATTTTCTTCACATTTCAATGTGTATAAAAATGTTTTAACATAAAAAACGCAAGCACCATGGAAATGATTTGGGGTATTAATGATTTTGAAGAGTATATTTGACGAAGATCCGGGGCTTACATAAGGGCTTTTCTTTTCAGTTTGATCACCATAACGGAGCGCATAGCGCTCCGGAAACTATAAATCACGGTTTTAGGTCGCACATTAATCTCCCAAGGTTCCAAGTAGGTGAAAAATCCAGTCGCGTTTTGAATAATATCCATTAGCACAACCAGCCTAATGAAGCTGGGCTTCGGCACGCCATCCAAACACTGTTTTTATAAATGGAGTGGAGCGCCGTCACGCAAGTCAATCCCCACCTCATAAATTTGGTTTGTATTTTGGTGCACATCCTAATAGCTGGAGAAATACGGCACGAGTAAATTACCCAAATGAAAATACAGATTGTCCACTTTCTGTGATGGCAAATTTCAACACCATCTCCCAAGTTTTGCCATACCTTGCGTTGGAATTAAGGCATTATGTTGTCAATTTCTACCCCGCTCGAATGCAAGCAGCACAGCGGACCATTTCACTCCGCATGTGTGCTGCAGTAGTCTTCTAACTTTCAAAGGCTTTTTCTAGAAATGGCTATTTTATTAAGAAAGTAGTTATATGGATCATTAAATGCACGTTTTGTTAATTACTAACAAAGTATTTGCAGCTTTTAATTCGCGATCTTTCAGAGAAGCAGACATGGGTAATGCAGTTATCCCAATCGAATAACCCGCCGACTTTTGTGCATGATTGGACGTGTTGAAGAGGTAAAGGAGGGGAACATGATAAAGGGCAGGCATGCTTATTCCGGCAACACTTGTACTTTAGACAGGTCGTGTCTGCAGGCTACAAGGGTGGTTTTAAAGAGAGCACGTACTGATAGACTGACTCTGATTGGGACGGAAAATAAGTGGGTGCGTGTCTATAAGATCAAAAACAGCCGAAGCTAGCCGCATTGGCTACGTTAAAAGGGCACCTCAATTTAAAAGCATCACCAGAGGTAAATATAGTTCCATTAGATGCAGCATTTAATTCCGTAGTACTTCCTTTTTTTCCATTCGCAAATTCACAAAGCATGTCAGGAAGACTCCCTCAGAACTCCAGACCATTGAAAATCATTGAAAGCTCTCAACCACAGCTGAATTGCATGTCAGACAAGGTTGTTGTTTTAACAATTTAATAAAAGATTACTAGAGATTCCTCTTGTGTACTATAAGATAATACGAATGAATGGCGGATAAATGGTTTTCTCCCTGACGTTGACTGTTTCTTTCGATTTCTGCTGGCTAGCAGATCTACCAACGGGATCATTACTCCCCATATGTTAACAAGCATTTTGTGTAATTTGCAAAGTAGGGAATGTGGTGTGTAGGATAGCACTTAAAACCTCTCCTTTACTTGGGTTTTAAAATTCACTTCTGCATGCAGCTCTTGAAATGAAGTAGTAATTACGACTGATTGATGGGTCAACGTTAAGAGAGTGAAATGTTGTAAAATAATACCAGGGGCTGAATCCGATCCTCATTTCTCTTGTCAATCAGTCCGCGCGACTCGTGGGAAGAGGCACTTGCGCTCGGGTCCGCGGTCCGTATCTGGTCCAGCCCTCTGATTCTGTGCAGTACGGCAGGCGCCTGTTGCATTGGACGCTCCTCCCTACTCCTGGGAGAGGCGTATTTGCGAGGGGTTTGTGGAAACATCAAATAGACATGCTATACCACTGATTAACCTTAATCTACCACTTACTAGCCTAAGGCTACATAGTTCATGCGCACTGACTAACGAGCCGAAAAATCAGATGGAATTCAGTTGATGTGACCGCTGCCATTCTTCCACTAATTTGAAAAAAATTCCTTCTCACCATTATCTTGAACATTGAAACAAAGCGAATTATGAAGAATCATAAAAGGTGTTTCTATCCTCAGGTGTGTAATTTTAGCGGAAGCACCAAACTCCACTTGATTCGTTCTAAATGCGTGTCACAATGTGGGTAAATCTGTTGGTTGAGTATTTTGCGTATAAAGGCAAGAGGAAATCAATCCCGCATTTATTCGACATACAAATGCTATTGCTTTCATTTATGCTGCAGACTGTTTCAAAACTATTCAATCGCATGTTCTGCATTAGGTCGCGGGTGCAGTGCACAAGCCGTGCGATTTTTCGAAAAAAGGTTCAACTAAAGAGAATTTCACCTTGGGCACCTAAACTTATTACCCTCTAAATGCACCCGAATTGTAGTTTAAGACCTAGAAGAGTGTATTTGTAGGCGGCTGAATGGCTTTCCGAGAGGATTTTAACCGTCGATGAAGTCGTTAATATAAAATCCTTTAAATATTTCTCCCTAAGAGATTACTTTTCCTTTAGAGCTACTGGAATGTTCGCAGATGTGGGGAAAATATATGTACACTTATGAATGATTTACAAATCTTACCATGTAAATTAGGTCACTTTCCCGGGTGCTAAATGATTACTTGGCAAGAAAACCCATTATCCACTAAAAAAATTTGTAGCTTTTTAAATTTTCGAAACATATGCTAGAAATCCTCGCTTTGGAGTGCGGCTTTTCTATTTCTTGACAAAGTATTGGAAGAAAGTCAAAAACGGGAGGAGGAGTTATTTTACCGAATAAATCCCCCAATTACCAGGGTAGCAAGTGAAAAATCTCACATCATTCTGCAAGATGTAATCAGCATACCTCACGAATGTTTTCAATAGGCTGGCAGGGACAATTTAGAGGCTTATCTCTAACTCATCATGTCGCCAAAGCATGTGCCTAGAAGCAGCTTCATGTTGTGCCCTTGGGTATATGCGACTGCTTCAGCGGCAGGCGCAAAATAGCGCCAGGCTTTGACAAAAAAGTGGAGGCAGTCATGCCGAAGCGAAAGCACCTGGTTCTCCCTTGTCTGGGCTAAGTGCTTAATTAGGCGGGAGGAGGCACTAAGGTTGCTGCCATTGGTTGTAGCTGAACTCCCCTTTCCTGTACCATGCTTCTTTAACGAAGCACCCAGGCAATCAGTC